GTTTGTTCGTGTTTAGAAAGCATGCAGTTGTCGCTAAGATAAGGTTCAGGAACTACGGTAACGTTGGAACTTGTGATTCAAAATTTGTTAGAATCAGATTTTTCCGGTTTTTGTTAACATGTGAAAGACTATTTTGCTATTGATTTCCGATGTTCACGGGATTTATGATTTAGAAACATTAGCAACAATTCTTCAATTGACGGATTTCTAGTCATCACAACGGAGCTATGAGTTTTGATCTTATACTTTTCATATAGTGGCGGGGCCAGGATTTTGGGCTGGAGGGAGCGGAGAGACGACTCAGCCGACTTTTGGGCACTTTTGAGCCCCCCCTCCTTCGCGAATAAAATCCATGCTTCAAAAATTTTCGAGTCTATGGGTTTTTTTAATTCAAATTGAATTTTGAAAAAAAAATAACAGCCCATTTTTACCAAGACAGAGGAACTAAGGGGACTAAGGGGACTAATGTGACTAACTAAGGTGACTAACTAAGGGGACTAAGGGAACTAAGGGGACTAAGGGGACTAAGGGGACTAACTAAGGGGACTAAGGGGACTAAGGGAACTAAGGGGACTAAGGGGACTAACTAAGAGGACTAAGGGGAATAAGGGGACTAACTAAGGGGACTAAGGGGACTAAGGGGACTAAGGGGACTAACTAACCGGCCTAAGGGTAGGAATAATGGTGTACACAGAGACGTGCATGGGTCGCGGCTCTTCGGGGGGCGCTTCGCGCCCCCACGCCGCGACGCTGAAATAAAAGGTGTGTTAGGTGGGGAAGCACGCTTCCTCACTGAATAGTCCCCTTAGTCCCCTTAGTCCCCTTAGTCCCCTTAGTCCCCTTAGCCCCCTTAGTCCCCTTAGTCCCCTTAGCCCCCTTAGTCCCCTTAGCCCCCTTAGTCCCCTTAGTTAGTCAGCTTAGTCCCCTTAGTCCCCTATTTCAATTTGAAATCAAGTGCTCTTTTTTCTTTTTAAATTCAGATTGAATTTAAATAACCCATTGTATGAAATTTTCCTAGGGGAGGGGGGGCACACAAGTGTCTGAAGGGGCACAGCATCACCCAGTCATCTCCTGACTCCATCACTAATTATTGTGGAAGTTCTGCCAACTGGTACGTCATGCACGTAGGCTAACATCGAGATATTGAGAAACTTAAAAATATGAAGTCGGTATAAAGGTTGAATGTTACTGATCATTTTATCTTGTTATCGCAAGTAGAAGGCTTATAGAAATTGAGAAGTCTGTCAGTTCGGTGAAGTAATGATTTCAAATAAGAAAACATCGAGCTTATCAATCCTTATAAAGAAACTGGATCTATATTGAAAAAGTCTAAGTAAAGCAAAACATCGAGATGTTGTTGGATAAAATAAGCTAGTTTATATTAACTACTTTTAAATTATGGTGTTTTGTTATAGACTGTTTTCTAAGGCATATATTTTTTTGTGGATGATCAGAATTTTCATTCACTGTTGATTTTATAATTAACAAATGAAATTATCAAGAAGAGGTAAGAAAAACATTTTCTCGAATGTGTTCTTTTTTAACATAAACTTCTATTTTCATTTTGTATAGCTCCTTCTTAGTTGTGTTCGTAACTCATAACTGTTCTAGCAGTTTCAAACTTCATTGAAATGTAAGACTAAATAAGTAGACAATGATTATTTTTTATTGTATTATTGTACAGTATTTCTACGAATGATAACAACATGTGAGTATTGTTTGATTTTGTTTTGCTGTTATATATATTCTATATTAGATAAACCAGATTATTTGATAGCTATTAGAATTTTTCACGTAGACGTTAACAAACACAACGTATTTTGAAGACCAATGTTTTTAATTCTTTGTAAAAATTTTAGTTATATTATTCAACACAATCCACTCGATCAGCATTCAATGATTAAGAAGTTAATGATACAATTAAAATCTAAAGTATTGAAAGAAATTATTTTAAGTTAGCAAGTAAGTCTTTTAGAAATTGTCTGTGTACCTTTTTTTGTTGAGTTATTTTATGAAAAATTTTGCAGTTTCCGAGTTTACAAACATATATATCACTCATTTTATTCAGTTTTTCGTCATATCTCACTATGTTTTTTATTCACTTTTTTTTAGATTACATTAATATTGCAAACATTTATGTGCAACTAACTTTTTACACAACTTTGATACTTTGTTCCTTAATACTTCGACTGATTTACGAGCTACTCATTCTAGAAATTATTGCATTCTGAGATGAATGGTGCGTATTTAGAATGTATATCTTTGATAAAATAATTTCATATTTTTTTACTTCAATTTTACTTTTTTTTCAAGCTTAACTGAACATCATTTGAGGAAATATTGTAAAAGTTGTTGACTTTGCTTTAAAAAGTGTTAAGTTGATTTGTTAGCTCAAGTGTCTAGGAAAGATAAATGTCAAAGACTTAGCTTATCTAATTGGTCTTCATGTCACTAGAAGCGAGTAAGACACTCGAGTGTCTAAAATCGATCATCCGTCGACACTTGAAGTGTATAAAATAGAGATATATCAACCAGTCGAAATGAGCACAATGTGTTTTCTAAAGGCGGACGAACTATCTTCTCTACACACTTCATATATCTTGATTTTTTAGAGTGAACGATTATTAAGGACAGTCATAGTCTTGTTTTCATGCTGTATAATGACATTTTCTGTCTCTCGACTTTCTCATCAATTTATTCGGTGACTGATAGAATCTTGTTCTTTGCTTTGTGAATTCGTCATGTTCTGATAGTTTCTCATAATTTCCGGTGCATTTTCACACAACTATATATTTCGTTGTGTTCGCACGTCACTAAGGTATCGGACCTATACTGCGCATGATTTCTGAATAGTTTTCTGGACAATATCTACCAGAACCATTCTTATATACTCGTTGGTGTAGAATTTAGGCGCAACTGTTACATACGAGCGAGTGTGGAGTTCACGCATCTACAGTCTGCACACTAAAACAAAGAGTTTTATTCGCAGTTTTTTAAAAATAAACATGCACTAGTAAGAGTCACAGCCCAAAAAAAAGAGGAATGATATAAAGATATCTCACGAATATTATTCGTTCG